TTCTACTTCTGATCAAGACACTTACAGATTGTTTACATTTTGGGTCATTGTTCACATTTGTTGCACATTTGTTTATAGATTATTTAATATTCTGACATGAGGTTTTACTCTAAGTTATACAGGTATTAATTATTATAGGTCAATAGTTGTTCATGTTTGTTGTACATACAGTCAGATCAATTAGGTTCTTTAGATACATAAAGATTGTATGCTGTCTAGGTAGGTAATCTTCAACCACTTCAAGGGTCTGTGGAACATGGCATTTAAATAATTTAGGGTTCTGTTGACATGAGACATGATTGCTTCTGACAGCACAGGTCTATTCCCAAGAGAATGTTGAGCATCAAAGACACTCTACTTGGAGTTTTTTGTTTTTTTTTGGTTTTTTTTTTTTTTAAAAACTGACCTTAGGGCAAGGAACTAATAATGCCTCAACCACTGACAAGTTACATAGTATCCAGAAATAGATAAGCAGGACTTTCAAATCTTGCCAAGACAGTGTAAGACAGTTTTGAAAAATTTCCTGCCTCTGAAAATGGTCTGTTACTCTAGGCCTTATCCAGAGTTGGTTGATTCCATGTTGCAAAACGAGACTTTGGGTGATTGCTCAGTTAGCTAATTGCCCACTTTGGAAGCTACTTTATTGTACTTCCTGCCTGCTCAAGTAATATTATCTCCCTTCTCAGGGGGTTTGACAGGGTTGAAGATTAGATAGTCATAGTTACTGTACTCTTATGATCTAGCCAAGCCATTTCCTATACAAGACTTAGAGTTCATAGGATAGAATGTTTATTAAAACCTTTAGCATATATTCCTTGCTTAATATTGTTTATGCTAGTTGTAATTCCAGTTATACTTGATATCTGTTCCTAGTGTATATAGTTTTGTATTGGGTTTGGAACTCTCTTGTTTAAACAAAAGGGGGAAGTGCTGTGGGAGCACATTCTGCTCCTTCATCCAATAGCCTTTAAGATACCAGCCCACTTGGGCATGGTCTCTTATATGTAAAAAGCAGTAGTAACCATAGGCCTGGTCTCTTGCTTCTGGCTCCTACTTTCAGCTGCTAGACTCTGTTCCTGTATGCTCAGAGGACTGTTATCAAGGACAGTAATCTGTAAGTTTTCCCCTTAAATAAATAACCCTTGTATTATCCATAATTCTAAAGTGGTATGGGGTTGTTTTGTGACTTAGGACATTATACACACACCCTATGAACAACTGAATTTTGACAAACAAGTAAAAAATATAAAATGGAAAAAGAAAGCATATTCAACATATGGTGCTGGGATAACTGTATATCAACAAATAGAACAATGAAAATAGACACATATCTATCACCATGCACAAAACTCAAGTCCAAATGGATCAAACACCTCAAAATAAAACCAACCACATTGAACCTCATAGAACAGAAAGTGGGAAGTACACTTGAATGCATTAACGTGGGAGACCACTTCCTAAGTATAACCCTGTGGCACAGATGTTGAGAGGAACAATTAATAAATGTCATCTCCTGAAACTGAAAAGCTTCTGTAAAGTAGAGAACATGGTCAACAAGACAAAACAGCAGCCTACAGAATGGGGAAAGCTCTTCACAAACCCCACAACAGACAGAGGTTTGATCTCCAAAATATAAGAAGAACTCAAGAAACCGTCATCAAAAGAACAATCTAGTAAAACAATTAGGTACAGACCTAAACAAAAAACTCTCAACAGAGGAATCTAAAATGGCTGAAAGACACTTAAGGAAATGCTCAACATCCTTAGCCATGAGGAAAGGCAAACCAAAACAAGTCTGAGATTCCATCTTACACCAGTAAGAATGGCCAAGATCAAAAATCACTTATACCGGAATGGATGTGGGGTAAAGGGAACACTCCTGCGTTGCTGGTGGAAGAGCAAACTGGTACAGCCCCTTTGGATATCAGTATGGCAACTTCTCAGAAAATTAGGAAACAACCTTTTTTAAGAAACAGCAATACCACTTTTGGATAGATACCCAAAGGATGCTCAATAGTACCACAAGAACATCTGCTCAACTATGTTCATAACATAATTGTTTGTCATAGCTAGATCCTGGAAATCACCTAAATGCCCCTCAACTGAAGAACTGATAAGAAAAATGTGGTATAGTTACACAATGGAGTACTACACAACAGAAAAAAATGACATCTGAAAATTTGTAGGCAAATGGATAGAACTAGAAAATGTCATACTGAATCAGGTAACTCAGACCCAGAAAGACAAATATAATATGTCCTTACTCATTAATGGCTTTTAGACATAAAGCAAAGAAAACCAGCCTACACTATATAATTACAGAGAACCTAGACAATAATGAGGACCCTAAGTGAGACAGACATACAGGGATCTAATATACATGGAAAGCTGAAAAAGACAAGATCTCCTGAGTAAATTGAGAACATGGAGACCATGGGAGAGGGTACAAGGGGAGGAGAGAGAAAGGGAGGGGAGCAGAGAAAAATGTATAGATCAACAAAATCAATAAAATTTAAAAATAGACTAAATGCATTTTATATTAAAATATGGCTACATGCCTATAGGAAGGCAGGTAGTGGAATGTGGTGGTTTGAAAAAGAATGGTCCTATAGGCTTGAGTGGTTAGTCATTAGAGAATGGTCCTACTTGAGAAAGAAGAGGAGGAGAGTCCTTGGACTTCACACAGGGCAGGGAACCCTGACTACTCTTTGGGCTGATGAGGGAGGGGGAGTTGTTTGGGGGGAGGGGGAGGGAAATGGGAGGCAGTGGCGGGGAGGAGGCAGAAATCTTTAATAAATAAATAAATAAAGAGATTTCCCAGAACTAGAGTTATATATGGTTTTAGAAACTATCTTTTTAAATGAAATTATTCAGGTTTCCAAAGACCATCTTTGTATTCTTTCTTTAATTATTGTAATCTAGGTTTACACACACACACACACACACACACACACACACACACACACACAGATGCATGCATGCGTATTCACACACATGCACACACACATAGATTAGACTACTTGGATAAAATAAGAACTTCAAGAAAAAAGGAGAGGAACAAGGGAAGATATGGATGTAAATATAGTCAAATTGAATTTTATATGTGAACAACTATTCTTAACACCCATTTTATTTTATACCAAATATACACTAATAAAATACTTTCTTTTGAGATAGTCTCTTGTAGTTACTGTGTTGCTGAGGATAAACTTGGACTTCTATTTTCCCACAAGATGGAACTGAAAAGACATTGCTGGTTGTATGTTAACAGGGACAACTATATATAAGCTCTGGGATTCAACAAGAAAACTCCAACCTGGTGCAACTCAGTTTTATACAGCTAAATGGTCATAAAAGTGTACCTAGAACAATATTAGTGCAGGAGTGGGTTATGAGGGAGAGGAGAGGAGAGAGAGAAAAGAAAGAGAGAGAGATCTCGAGAGAGAGAGAGAGCCCTATGAGAGAGAGAGAGAGAGAGAGAGAGAGAGAGAGAGAGAGAGAGTTCTATTGGAGTAGAATCTAGCCCCCTCTTCAGACTACAGTCTCAAAAGATAAGACACTTAACCTGCTAATCAGGGTCATTTAGAGGAAGAGACCTCTGTGTTACTCTGCAGATTCTCAATGTGCAGTACCATGAGGTGGCAGAGAGAGGTTCTATTGTCTGAGCTTCTCTGGGTTCAGAAACATCTGCCTTTTCTTATTTAGAATGGTCAGTGGGTGTCACTCATATGACAATCTTGGTTCTGGGGTGCACCTCTGACATAAACCTGTTAAGAGTTCTATAGTGGGAATGACTCAGACTTGCAGAATGAGGTGGAAAGTGCTTCCCTTGAAAATGGATGAAACCTCTCTGAGTGTGGGGGAGTAGAGGGCTGCCTATGTGTTAAGCTAGGAGTTAAGTGTGAGGACTCCTGGAATGAGGTTGGCAGATCATGTACTTGTGCTTCTCTCTCCCAGCACCGATCTTTGACGATCTGTCACCCCTTGCCCATTTTCAGAGGTATTGGGAGACACATCCAGTAGGGGAACATTTGACCTGACTTCAAAGTGGTGAAGAATTTGTAAACAAACTTTGTCTAGCTCATTTCAAATGCCCTGCCTGCTCTTTCCAGTGTGTAAAGAAGCAGAAAGGAATTTCAACCACTTTTAGCTTGAAATCACTTCGCTAATCGCCTTTTGTGTACCCAAACCTGAAAAGGACAGTGCACGAACGTGAGTGGTAAACAGTCTAGTCATTCCATGTGTGTTGCACACCATTTCAGAAGACACAGAGAAGATGACGGATACACATAGGCTTCAGTCCCCTTAGCCCTGTGATTGGCTTCAAAAACATCAATGCGAAGGAAATTTATTTGGTATTAAAATGACTTTTGAAGCAGCTTTCTGATGTCTGAAGCTTCTGTCCTGTCCAGGTCCCTCAGTCGTTAAGTCTCAAAGAAATCACACAGAGGTCTACATTAGTTATAAACTGATTGGCCTATTAGCTCACCTTCTTCTTAACTAATTCTTATAACTTACAAGGGCCCTTAATTCTTGTCTATATGAGTCACGTGGCTTGGTATCTTTTTCGGTGAGGCTGTCACATCTTGCTTGCTCTCATTGCCTTGCCTCTACATCCTGCCTGGTAAACACATCTATGCTTCCTGCCTGGCTATTGGCCAATCAGCGTTTTAATAAAATACAATTGACAAGGTACAAACAATTGTCCCATAGTATTTTTCATTAGGTAGCTATGACTGTCCTGGAACTTGTTATGTAGAACAGGCTGGTTGTAACCTCACAGAGATTGGCCTGCCTCTGTCTCCTGAGTGCAGAAGTTGTGCATCACTACACTTTGCTTAATATTCTTTTTCTTATTAATAAACATCTTGGGCTAGGGAGATGGCTCAGTGTGTAAAGTGTTTGAAGCACAAATGTAAGAATCAGTGTTCAGATGCCTAGAATCTTCATAAAAAGACTGTTAATCAGAAGTAGAGAATTTCTCCATAAGACACACTTACCTGTCTTGTTTGAAATCTCATTCTCTGGACACAGAATGCAGTCAAAACAACAAGCCACATTTCCTTCTGGGAGGGATTTTCTGAATCCAGGACTACAGCTTTCACTGCAGACAGACTGGGGAGTCTGAAGACAATCAGATGTGAGCATCTTATACTTCAAAATCTGAATTAAACCTACTACTATAGTGAGCACATTATTCATAGAATTAGATAATTAGTGAACATAGTTTTTGTATCCATATGTAATCAACTGATTGGATGTTGCTGTAGCTTCGACACCACACACCCCCTTAACGGTGATGACCTTCAGCCTATGGTGCTGCTGAGACGTGGTGAAGTCTTTAAGTGGAGAGGTATTGGGGTGGAGAAATGGTTCTGTATTAACAGCATGGGATGCTCTTGCAGAGGGCATGAATTACATTACATGGCTCAAAGATGCCTTTAACTCCAGCTCCAAGGGATCCAACAGCCTCTTTTGGCCTCCATAGGCACCTGCACTCATCATGCAGATAAAAGTTCCTTCCTCCATGTGCATATAAACAGTGAAAATAAAAACAATATAATTTTTTAAAGGTGAGAAAGTGATTGGAGGCTTGCCATTGGAAGTTGTACTGGGACAATGGACTCATCCTACCTCTTGTTTTGCTGGCATGAGGTGATTGTCTTCTACTGCCACAAACAACACCATAGTGCCTTATCCCACCAAAGTAACAGCTATGAGTCCTTGAATCATCCATATTCAACCTAAAGATCTGTCAGTAATGAGAACCCCAACAGATGTTGTGTATATTTTCATATGAAATGTGTGAGCATTTAGATGCGTATTGGTAAATGAACATGTTCTAGTTCCATACAGTATATAAGAAAATTCTCTTCCTTAAATTGGAAGTATAAAATTTAAAAAGCACATTCTTGGTTCAAGGGATTGCTGTGTATGATAATGGATTAAAAGCTGCCTTTACAAGATTCAGTAAAAGACAAGAGTCACAAGAGTCATAGTAAAAACCAAATAGACTCTACTTTAGCAGAGAAAGAATTGAATGAAAAAGAAATTAGCCTACATGGCACCTTTGTTTCAAAGGAACAGTCAAGCTAGTGTGTTTCACCATCTTGCTCGCATCAGACCAACGACAAAAGCATCCGTCAATGAGGGGCAGTTGGTCATGGACACTAGAAAACAGCAGCTGGAACATGTCAACCCCGTTTGCTAGCCATGAGTGGATTGATGGGTAGAGTAAAACTGGGTGAGCAGATGGGAGCTGAAATGAGGTAGAGGAACTTGGAGCTGAGATTCCTGCCTGGCATCCTGGAAACCATTGTCTGAGCAGAAATCACCCCTCCCACTGCCTTGGTGAACTGCTATGAAATATTTCCTCCACTATCATCCGTGGTCCTAAACCATGCACTGTGCTTCTTATTCCTACTTTACTCTCTATTTCCATTTCTCCAATTCCTTCCTCAATTTACTACTGAAGGAATATGGACACCCTTAGCTCTAAAACCTGTGAAGTGTATCTTCTCCAATCAGTACTCTAATGATGCTGCCTCTGAATTATGTTAGGAAAAAAAAAAGGAAAATACAAAAGTGTCTTCTACTTCAAGTTAACATGAATATTTCCATCAAACCTCTGTATTTGTTATTGTAATTGAATCCTCCCCCATAAACATCACATGCTCAAAAACTGGTAGAATTAATATTGTAGAAATGACCATTCTACCAAAAACTATTTACAGATTCAGTGTAATACCAATTTAAAATTCCTATTTCATTCTGCACAGAAATAGAAGTATCCTAAATTTTATATGAGTCCACAAAAAACGACATATAATATTTTATATATTTATATTTTTAAAATTTATATAGAAAACTTAAAAATATCAATATATCATAAAATCATAAAACTTACAGGCAAAAGAAAAATATGTATTGAAGTATAAAAACATTAAAAGACTTTTTCACACAAAATATTTTGATCATGCTTCTTCCTTCAGTTCCTCTCAGATCTCCCCCTCCATTCAACCCCATGCCCTTTCTTTCTGTCTGTTTACAAAACAAGCAAACAAAACTGAAAAACAAACAAAACTCCCACGAAACACACACATATAAAGCAAAAGACCAATAAGATAAAAAATTCCCAAACAAAGAAATGTGATATAAAAATTTTACAAAAAAGAAACTGAAATTTGTGGGAATGGAGCCTTTTGTGAAGAGAGACTCTATTGGAAGAAATTACTTTCCTTTACAAGAAAGTATTCATTGTAGATAGCTTTTTGGTTTGAAGATACTGATCAAGATTTGTTTGTTTTAATATGTGTAGTTCATAGCATTACAATTATACCCAACTTACCTCTGTGATTCCTGTGGCCCATTCTATCATGTCCTCAGATAAAGATAATTGTTGACCCAGTGGACCATATGGAGAAAACTGTCCAACCTTTACCTTAAGTTCTAGACCTTCTGGAAAGTTCCAGTAGTTGAGTATATCATACTCTGCATTCAGTTTCATTTTCTCATCCAAATTCACTTGTTCTCCCGCATGATTAGTAAATTCCATGTCTTTTAAAAAAGGGTTCAGCTAAAAAAGATATATTATTTTATGAAGTTGATACCAGAGCGAAGACAAAAAACTGAAGTGTTTGGGAAAGTATTACATTGTTTAAATCCTTAACGAATAAAGCAAATTTGACATACACACCACAAACACACACACACACACACACACACACACACACACACACACACACACACCTCAGCGGTAAGAAACGACATCTTGAATTTTGCATGCAAATGGATGGAAATAGAAAACATTATCCTGAGTGAGGTAACCCAGACCCAAAAAGATGAACATGGGATGTACTCATTCATAATTGGTTTCTAGCCATAAATAAAGGACACTGAGCCTATAATTCGTGATCCTAAAGAAGCTAAACAAGAAAGTGAACCCAAAGAAAAACATAGTTATCCTCCTGGATATTGGAAGTAGACAGATTGCTGGGCAAAAATTGGGAACTTGGGGATGGGGGTAGAATGGGGGTAAGGGGAGACGGGGAGAGAAAAGTGAGGAGAAGATGGGGAGAGCTTGGGGGAATGGGATGGTTGGGATGGAGAAAGGGTGGATATGGGAGCAGGGAAGTATATATCTTAATTAAGGGAGCCATTTTAGGGTTGGCAAGAGACTTGACTCTAGAGGGGTTCTAAGGTGTCCATGAAGTTGTCCCCAGCTCGTTCCTTGGGTAGCTGAGGAGAGGGAGCCTGAAATAGCCTGATCCTATAGCCATACTGATGAATATCTTGCATATCACCATAGAACCTTCATCCGGCGGTGGATGGAGATAGAGACAGAGACCCACATTGGAGCACCGGACTGAGCTCCCAAGGTCCAAATGAGGAGCAGAAGGAGGGAGAACATGAGCAATGAAGTCGGGACCGCTAGGGGTGCACCCACCCACTGAGACGGCCAGCTGGACTAGGACTGAAAAACATGGGATCAAACCAGACTCTCTGAACATGCCGGTCAGTGAGGGCTGACTGAGAAACCAAGGACAATGGCACTGGGCTTTGATCCTACTGCATGTACTGGCTTTGTAGGAGCCTAGTCTGTTTGGATGCTTACCTTCCTAGACCTGGATGGAGAGGGGAGGACCTTGGACTTCCCACAGAGCAGGGAACTCTGACTGCTCTTTGTACTGGAGAGGGAGGTGGGAGGGGGAGAGATATGGGAGGCAGGGAGGAGGCAGAAATTTTTAATTAAAAGAAAAGCTTTTTTGGCATCTAATGAGATGATAATGTGGTTTTTATTTTTCAGTTTGTTTATATGGTGGATTACATTGACAGATTTTTTTTTTTCGAGACAGGGTTTCTCTGTGGTTTTTATATGTTGAAACATATCTGCATCTTTGGGATGAACCTAATTTGATCATGGTGGATGATGGTTCTGATGTGTTCTTGGATTTTATGTGCCAGTATTTTATTGAGTATTTTTGCATCGATGTTCATGAGTGAGATTGGCCTGTAATTCTCCTTCTTAGTAATGTCTTTCTGTGGTTTGAGTATCAGGGTGATTGTAGCCTCATAAAAAGAATTTGGTATTATTCCTTCTGTTTCTATTGTGTGGAATAACTTGAGGAGTATTGGTATTAGTTCTTCTTTGAAAGTCTTGTAGAATTCTGAGCTGAAACCATCTGGTCCTGGGCTCTTTTTGTTTGGGAGACTTTTGATGACTATTTCTATTTCTTCAGCAGTTATAGGTCTGTTTAATTTGCTTATCTGGTCTTGATTTAATTTTTGGTAAGTGATATTTATCCAGAAATTGTTCATTTCCTTCATGTTTCCAATTTTGCAGAGTACAGGTTTTCAAAATATGACCTGATAATTCTTTGTATTTCCTCCATGTTTGTTATTATGTCTCCCTTTTCATTTCTGATTTTGTTAATTTGGATATTCTCTCTCTGCCTTTTGGTTAGTTTTGATAAGGGTTAGTCTATTTTGTTGATTTTCTCGAAGAACCAACTCTTTGTTTCATTGACTGTATTGCTTTCTTTATTTCTATTTTGCTGATTTCAGCTCTCAAATTGATTATTTGTTGCCCTCTAGTTCTCTTGGGAGAGTTTGTTCTAAAGTTATCAAATGTTCTGTTAATTCACTAGTGTGGGACTTTTCCAGCTTCTTTATGTAGGCATTTATCTCTATGAACTTTGCTCTTAAGACTGCTTTCATTGTGTCCCATAGATTTGGGTATGTTGTGTGGTTATTTTCATTGAATTTTAGGAAGTCTTTATTTTTTCCCTTTATTTCTTCCTCAACCCATTGATGATTCAGGTGAGCAATGTTTAATTTCCATGTGTTTGTGGGCTTTCTGGAATTAGTATTGCTGTTGACTTCTAGTTTTAAACCATGATGATCTGATAAGGTACATTGGGTTATTCCATTTTTTTTGTATTTGTTGAGGTTAGTTTTGTTACCTAGTATGTGGTCAATTTTTGAGAAGGTTCCATGAGGTGCTGAGAAGAAGGTATAATTTTTGCTGTTTGGATGGAATATTCTATAGATGTTTATTAAGTCCATTTGAATCATAACATCTGTTAGTTCTCTTATTTCTCTGTTCATTTTTGTCTGACTGACCTGTCCAATGGTGAGAGGGGAGTGTTGAAATCTCCCACTATTAGTATGTGGGTTTAATATATGATTTAAGCTTTAGAAGTGTTTCTTTTACATATGAGGGTGCCCTTGTATTTGCTGCATAGATGTTCAGTATTGAGATTTCCTTTTGATAGATTTGTCCTGAACTAATATGAAATGACCTTCTTTGTCTCTTTTGACTGATTTTAGCTTGAAGTCTATTTAGTTAGATATTAGGATAGCTACACCTGCTTCTTTCTTAGGTCTATTTGATTGGTATATTTTTTCCCAACCCTTTACTCTGAGATTATGTCTGTCTTTGAAGTTGAGATATGTTTCTTGTATGCACAAGAAGGATAGATTCTTTTTTTTTTTGTAACTAATCTGTTAGCCTGTGTCTTTTTATAGGTGAGTTGAGTCCATTTACATTAAGGGATGTTAATGACCAGTGATTTCTATCTCTTGTTAACTTAGTTTTCATTGTTGCTGACGTTAATTTGTACATTTCCCCCCTTCTTTGGGATTTGCCGCTATTAGACCATTAGTTGTCTCTGTTTTTTGTTGGTGTACCAACTTCCTTGGGTTGGAGTTTTCCTTCTAAGGTTTTGTGTAAGGCTGGGTTTGTGACTAGTTATTGGTGAAATCTAGTTTTGTCATGTAATGTCTTGTTTTTCCTTCTATGGTGATTGAAAGTTTTGTTGGGTATAGTAGTCTGGGCTGACATCCATGGTCTCTTAATGTCTGCATAATGCTTGACCTTGATCTTCTAGCTTTCATTGTCTCCAATGAGAAGTGTAATTCTGATAGGGCTACCTGTATGTGTTACGTGGCCTTTTCCCTTTGCAGTTCTTAATATCCTTTCTTTACTCTGTATGTTTAGTGCTTCGATTATTATGTGGTCAGGGTACTTTTTCTTTGGATCCAATATATTTTCTGTTCTGTAAGCTTCTTGTATCTTAATAGGCATATCTTTCTTTAGGTTGGGAATGTTTTTTCTGTGATTTTGTTAAATATAGTTTCTGTGCTTTTGAGTTGAACTTCTTCTCCTTCTCTTATAACTATTATTCTTCGATTTGGCCTTTTCATGGTGTCCTATATTTCCTGGATATTTTGGGTTAAGCTTTTGTTAGATTTAATGTTTTCTCTAACTGATAAATCTATTTCTTCTATTGCATATTCAGTGCTTGAGATTCCCTCTTCTATCTCTTGTATTCTGCTGTTATTGCTTGCATTTGTGGTTCCTGATCTTTTTCTCATGATTTCTGTTTTTATAATTCCCTTTGCTTATGTTTTCTTTATTGTCTCTATTTCAGTTTTCAAGCCTTGAATAGTTTCTCTCATATGTTTAGTTTCATTTTCTTGGTTTTCTTTGAGGGATTTGCTGATGTCTTCCAACTTTTTGTTTGTCTTTTCCTCCATTTCTTTAAGGGAATTTCTCATTTCCTCTTTAAGAGTTTTGAACATTCTCTTGATTTGTTTAGGTCATTTTCTTCTGCTTCATCTATATTTGGTTGTTCAGGTCTTGCTGTTGTAGGACCTTTAGGTTTTACTAGTGTTGTGTTGCTCTTTGTGGTTTTGCATGCATTCTTACCTTTTCTACTCATCTTTTCCTCTAATAGATGTGGTTGAGGCTGTCTGAGATTCTGTTGAATAATCTTCTAGGTACCAAAGAATCCAAAGCTCAGATGGTTGTTCCTCATGGTACAGCTCTACAGTTCTAGCTGCCCCATTGGTTACTCTATGTTCCTGGAGATAGCTCAGTGATCCTGTGCTTTGCTTTGCTCCCTTGGAGTTTGCTGTCTCAGGCCTAATTTGGCCTAGGTTACAGGCTTTGCACTATTTTTGCAAATCCTAGTCTTGATCCCCTCTGCAGAAGTCCCTGCCTTGGAGTTGGTCCTGCAAAGGTTTTTGGCTCCAGTCTACTGTCTTGGAGTATTCAGCCTCAGGTGCACCCAGAATCACAGAGGACCTGAGCCAGGGTTACTCCCTCAGAGGTCACAGACTCATGTTCAGACCTGCTAAGGCTCTGGGTTCCTGCCTATTCCCTTTGATGTCCCAAACCAATGCCCGGACCCACAGAGGTCCTGGCTCAGGCATACTCCCTCTGAGCTCCCGGCTCAGGCATACTCCCTCTGAGCTCCCAGACTCACATCTGGCCCTGCATAGATCTCTGATTCCTGCCTACTCTCTCAGAGGTCCCAGATTCATGCCCAGACTGGCAGAGGTCTTGGCTCAGGCCTAGTTCCTGGGAGGTCCTAAACACATGCCCAGACCCACAGGGGTTCTGGCTTAGGACTACTCCCTTGAAGGACCCAGATTCATGTCCAGACCCTCAGTGGATTCTGGCTCTGGCTCTCTTACTCAGCAATTATACTGTGTCAGGTCTGAGAGTTTTTACAGAGTCTTTAGGGTCTCTCATGTATAGAATATTATCATCTACAAGGGAGGATGTTTTGACTTCTCCCTTTTTTGTATCCTTTTTAGTCCCAGTTCTTAACTTATTACTTATGTTGAAATCACATTAGTTGTCTGTGTCTATACAGTGCTGTGGAATAACCCTTCTGTATGCTATGGATATGTTTTATTCCCATTGATTAATAAAGAATCTTCTTTTTCTTATAACAAGGCAGAATACAGCTAGGCAGGAATGCTAAAGAGAGATACAGAGAGGAAAATGGCAGAGTCAAGAGAGACATGAACAGCTGCCCAAGAAATAACATGCCAATAGATCACTAAATGCCACGGCCACTTGGCAATATATAGATTAATAGAAATGGGCTAATTTAAAATAATTCAGGAAAAGTGGGGTACAGATGTAAACATAGAACTTTCAACAGACAAATATAAAATTGTTGAAAGATGCTCAAGGAAATGGTTAACATCCTTAGCAATCAGAGAAATGCAGATTATAACAACTCTGAGATTCCATCTTACACTTGTCATGATGGCCAAGATAAAAAACACTGATGACGGCTTATGCTGGAGAGAATGTGCGGTAAAAGGAACATTTCTCCATTTCTGGTAGGGGTGCAAACTGATACCACCACTTTGGATATCAGTATGGTGATTTCTCAGAAAGTTAGGAAACAGTCTATCTCAAGACTTTGAGTATATACCAAAAGTATGTTCAATCACACCACAAGGACATGTACTTGACTATGTTCATAGCCCCATTATTTGTTATAGCAAGAAATTGGAAATGACATAAATGCTCTTTGACCAAAGAATGAATAAAGAAAATGTGGTACAATTACACAATTGAGTACTACATAGTGGGAAAAAAATGACATCTTGAAATTTGCAGGCAAATGGATGAATCTAGAAAACATCATATAGAATAGGGTAACCCAACGCCAGAAAGACAAATACAATATGTACTTACTCATAAGTGGCTTTTAGACATAAAGCAAAGAAAAACCAACCTACATTTCACAATCCCAGAGAACCTAGTCAGCAAAGAGAACCCTAAAAAGGACATGCATGGATCTAATCTACATTGGAAGTAGAAAAGACAAGATCTCATGATTAAACGGAGAGTATAGGGATCATGGGAGAAAGTAGAAGGGGAGGAGAGAGGAAGGGAGGTGAATGGAAAAATATATAGCTCAATAAATATAGTAAAAATAGGTTAATTTGAATATAAGAGCTAGTTATTAATAAGCTTGAACTATAGGCCAAAGAGTTTATATATAAAGTAAGCCTCTGGGTGAGTATTTAAAGCAGGGGCAAGATGGGGTGGGACAGAAAAACCTCCATCTACAGAGCAACTTACTCTGTGACAACTATAACCCTACCTTCTTCTGTGGTCTTTATTGCATGTTGTGGAATTACATATGCCTGGGAACTCTACCCTCATTCATCTCCAATGCCCAGTCTGCCTGTACAAGCTTTGCTGCATGTTGTGGTAGTCCTATGAAGTATCCCTTTTTTAGCCAATTTAGTTCTTTCATTTTCTTTTGAAGCCTCTTCTCCATGGATGGCAATCTACATACTTAAGTGTAATTAACTCTTCGCTGGTTCCTTCCTCCAGCTTTTCCTGCAGATTCCATTCTCCATGTTGTGTGATTCCTTCCATGTGCCTAGACACCGTATCCTTCACAATTAGCTCTGGCCTCTCAGTTGAAGTCCACAGCCTCCGTTGAATCTCCTGGGACTCACAAGATTGGATATATCTATATTTTTTATACAGAAATCAGTGATCTGTCAATATAAAATACTGATGTGGATTTAGAACACATTTTCTTTCTTCCTTTTAACCATTTCTGTATAGACCTTGACTTACCCCTTTGTATGTGTTTCTAGTAGTTTATTTTGTACTCTTCGAGAACCTAAGATAAGTAGTATGACCTCCTAAAGCATAAATTCAGAAAATCACATTGCTTATGTTATGAGCAATCCAATGGGAAATTACCTGCCAGGCTGAAAACATCAACTCTTCTGTCTTTCTTAATGGTTTTACTTCTGCTTGATGAAGAAGCATCTCATGAAGGCCATGGGCCACAGCATACACAGCATTGTATGTATTGTAAGCATACTCAGTCATGACCTTATCAAAATGGTTGTTAGGTGAGTCATGCAAGGAAACATTAGGCACATAGTTCTCAACTGTAGTACAGTCATTGTCAGCAAATGAGCAGTTAAAAAAGTAGAACCAAAACCTTTGAAGGTAAAAATCTTCTGGGTATTTGGAAGGGTGAAGTGTTTGGGTAAAATTTCTGAAACCAGAGAGTTCTTTGTGGTGATGTGAGAAAATGAGGCTCCCATGCAATGACTGCAAAATGAAATGCTTTGAATGGTTGATGTCATTCCATTCTGAGTTCATGATCCAAACTTTCCCTGTAACTAAAGTCTGCTTTAAATAAGACAGGAAGCCTCTCAGAAAGTCACTGTCCCCATATGTGATGATCACATTTGCTGATGATTTCAGAACCCGTGTAGGATTCAATTGTTCCTGTGCCAAAAAGGATACTTTACTGACTGGGATCATCTCCACAAAATCTATACATATTCTGTTTCTGTCCATTTCTGCCCTCAGGTCTGAGATTATCTGAACACCTTTTTGTCCTTCAGATACAATCAACCCCACCCAATTCCAGTGTAAATAATTCAACAATAAGACAATGCCACTGGCCAGAGATGTGTCCTTGGAGGCCATTTGATAGAGATTGGGAAACTGATCATGATTATTCAGGTTAGGATCAAAAGACCCAATGGTCAGCTAAAATGAAAAGAAGTAGAAGCAGAATTAAGAGGAGAAACCATAAAGCATGGGTCAAATCATGACAGACTTGTAGAATCAGCTAGAGTGATGAAGAGAATTTGATCATCACATTGTACACATGTGTACACGAGGTCAAGGCTGATAGTGGTATTACCTTGTTATTCTTTACTTTAATTTTTTCTTTTTCTTTTGAGCATAGGTCTCTAAGTGAACCTGTAGCTCACTGTTTTGGCTAGCCTGACTTTCCAATTAGGGACTCTCTGCTTTACCAGAACTGAGGTTAAAGATATGTCCTGTCATGGCCAGATTTCATGTGAATGCTAGAGAGTCACACTCAGATTCCCATGCTTGTGAATCAAATACTTTACTCCCAAAGACACCTCTGTAGACCATAATACCACTAAAATATTGGTATCCTACTTTCTGAGGCATATTTAGAAAATTTCTGGTCACTCACAGTTCCAGGTAATCGCTGACCAAGGAAATGTGGATATGTCACCAAGTCACTGAACACTTACTCTTTGGGATTATAAACTTTGTCAGATGTATAATCATAATTTTCTTTCATGTTCATTTTTCACCTTGGGATGACCCTGAACTTGTGTTTTTCATCTCTCTACTCTACTCGTCCTCACCTGTGGATATTTGTAGAGTCCCAGCAGTGTTCCTATCTGGGCAGATATTATCCAGGATACTCCTGAGAGTACAGCAACAGACTTCATTTCTTTCCTGCAGTTGTAATTACTTATATATTTCTTCCCTGATAGCCACGTGATGCATCTATCCAATGTCGACCATTCACTATACAGGACATTATAGATATCATACCCCAGAGACACATTGGGTAAAAGATGAGGGTTCATGTTGATCTCCTCAATGGCAAAAACCATTGCCAGGAGAATCTGGTAGTTCTTTATCTTTAACCTGAACAGAAGACACAAGAATATTTAGAGGTGCTGTTTTTTGAATGTCAAATATCTCCCATATATTCACAACTGAACACTCTGTCCTCAGCTGATGACATTGATGAAGTCTCTGGAACTTTCAAAAGTTTGAGCATTACTGAAAGAAGTTTGTCAGTGGAGGAGAGTCTTTGGACATTATATATTGGCCTCAGTTCAGGCTCAATCTCTTATTTATTGAATCAGGCTCATTGTTTTTATTTTGACAAAATCATGTCAGCCATGAGAATGTGCTTCACAGAATCCAAACACAGGGATTGCAATTTGCAGAACCCAGCTCCTCTGCACTGAAATATGAAATTTATTCTGATTTTGTCAAAATAAAAACAATGAGCCTGAGTATGGGGTATGTGCATGGAAAGTCTCAAGCAGGGAGTTCTGTGGAAGTATGATAAAAAGCAGCTGATGAAATTAATATAAGATTTAGCTGATTAGAAGCTAGAGCTAACGGGCCAAGCAGTGATTTAATTATTACAGTTTCTGTTTAATTATTTTGGGTCTAAGCTAGCCGGATGGCTGGGATGAAAAAGTGGGTCCTCCTCCAACAGAGAAGTACTCCAAAAATACTACTTTCAGGAGAAGCACACACCTATCATAAACTATATTCAGTGCTACTCATAGGAGCTACATTATGAAACTAACCTCAATGTCCAATAACAGAACTATGAATAAAAAAATGTGGTACATGTGTACAGTGGAATTTTATTGAAGTATAACGAATGAACTTATATCACTTGTTGGAACTTGGATGTAATTTAATCATATTAAGTAAATTAAGTCAGTACTAGGAAGACAAATATCATATTTTCTCATTGATAAGTCCTAGATTTCATGTAGATACATAAAACCTGATAAGTATACAGATGACATGAAAGTAGACATGAAATGGGATGAACAAAGTAGACTCTGAGCATGATAGCAGCTTGAAAATGGAAAGAATAGCTGGGAATGGAGGCATACAGGGAAATACTTTCAAGAATAGCACCTATGTATCTTTGTTTAGTAAATTGAAGATGTTTAATATTTCAAAAAAGGGAGAAAAATAGTGGCCCTCTAAAATGAAATTAGAGATGAAAATGGGACATACATCAGATTCCAATAAATTCCAGAAGATTATTATGGAACATTTTTCAAACTCATATTTAACTTATGTTTTAATGAATAAAACTTGCCTGAAGATCAGAACAAAGCTAGCCATACTAGTCAGCCATACAGGCCAGGCAGTGGTGCTGTATAGATTCAGTACCAGCACTAGAGAGAAATATAAGACAGGATAGGACAGAAACTCACTATCTTTTCAGTCTGAAGATTTTGTAGAAGAGCTCTCTAGTGGTTGCTTGCTCTGCTTTTGATTTTCAGTTTGAAGTCAAATATCTGTCTCTTGGTTTTTATTGCTCATGATGCATCTGGCACCCATTTTTGGAGTACAAATTTACAATAAAAGTCATTTACCTCTTGCTTTGCAGTCTCTGGTATAGGCCAGAGCTCCACACAGCCAGAGTTACCACCCTACTGGCTAGGTTTTTCTTTCTTCTCCTCTGGTGGGTTTTCCCTTGAACCCCCTTTTGGGATGACGAGAAACTGTGTAGATGCCTTGAAATTCAGTCAGGCTTTTACTGACTGATCTATGCCATAGCAATAAGCCAAATATCTCCAACAATATTTGTGGTCTACTTGGTCAGAAAATTGAGGATTCTTAGGGAAGGAATTAGTTAAAATGGAGTTTCTTTCCCCATGGGAAAACATAACTACAATAGTGAATGTTAGGTCTCTTCTGATTATGTAATGCATGATATAAAAATAGACCAATTCAATGAAAGAATTAAAAACCAAGATTGACATACTGTTATCATTTTAATAACCCTTGTTCTAATTTTGTTAATTCTTGGTTTGTCTCTCTCTCTCTCTCTCTTTTTTTTAATTTTCGAGACAGGGTTTCTCTGTAGCTTTTTGGTCCTGTCCTGGAACTAGCTCTTCTAGACCAGGCTGGCCTCGAACTCACAGAGATCTGCCTGCCTCTGCCTCCCAAGTTCTGGGATTAAAGGTGTGTGCCACCACCGCCCAGCTTTGGTTTGCCTCTTAAAATTTTGTATGACTTGACTGCCAAGATACATGTCTTAGAAAAATTTAATAAAACATACCACAGAGCTATCCAAATCCAGATAGAAGAATTTCGGCATTGCATTGTAATGAGAGGAACAACCTAAGGTTTCCAAACAACCAACCTTAATACCACAGAGTAACCTTGCAGGAATTATCAAATGGTAGATGATCTGTTATAGCTAATTGGACTTCTGTGTCAATGTTAAATTTAAGGATAAATCGAGGAATCAATAGTCTCATCTGGTATTCATTCACCTTTTGTGAAGCAAATATTAAACTTGTGGTCAATTTATAATACAGTTATCCCTAACCATTGAGTGGACACAATTAAAGCTGTTTTAGAATCTGATTCACAGTCACAATGGAGGACCTGTTTCTGATGGAGTATAACTAGAGGCATGGAAATCTCCCAAGATCAACTTCTTGGAGAAGGAGTTTATGCTATTATAGAAAGACAAGCCCTACATGATGGCCACATCCTGGCTTTATGCCATGCAACAGCTTTGACTGCTTGGTACAGAATTGAAGTAGGAAAGGTTGAATCATTTACTGAAATCTTGTAAATGACCCAAAAGAAATCTTCTTGGATTTCTTACAAAGATTTGCATCAGCAGTAAATAGAATGATACCAAATTTAGGAACTAGACTAATAATAATTGAATTTCAGGCTTTTGAAAATGCTAATTCTCAATGTAAAAATAATTAGGTCATCAAAGGCAACGTCAGCACCTTTGGAGGAATGGATGTGAGTCTTGGAGGAGAGCCACTTGTTTGTCCCAGTCGCCAGAACCAAAATAATCACACAGGAACTGTATTGATTAAGTCACTGCGTGGTTCATTAGCTCTAGCTTCTTACTGCCTAACTCTCACATCTTAATTTAACCCATCTCCATTAACCTGTGTATTGTCACATGGCAGTTGCTTACTGTCAAAGATCCAGCATGTCTGACTCTGGTGGCTCCATGGTGACTCTATCCACCCTCCTTTCTCCCAGCATTCAGTTCTGTCTCCCTGCCTACCTAAGTTCTGCCCTCTCAACAAGTCAAGGCAATTTCTTTATTCATTAATGATAATCACATCACATAGAGGGGACTCCCACATCACCTCCCCTTTGTTATTTCAATAAAAAAGAAGGCTTTAACTTTAACATAGTAAAATTACATATAACAAAACAGTTATCAAACAAGAATTACAGTTATAATATTTATATCTACTCCGTGTTTTAGCATAACTAAGGAAAACTATATTTATTTTTCAACTCTATTAAAGACTCCAGAAGGATATTTTGAAGGTCTCTGAAAGAATTGAAGAATACCTATTTATCTAAAATACATTTCTGCACATGTAGAAAATCTAACTATCATTACTACAAGGTTGACTTTTATAGATGATTATTTATTAACCTATATTTCTTAATTATACATTACATTTTGAAACAAATTACACAATCACAATACCTTAATCAAGAGCATAAATATACATATAAGATTGACCTTAAATTTGTATCAATAAACCAAGATCCATACCAATGCAAATGTCTATATCATATCCCCCTTTAAATGTAAATAAACAATTATACAGAATATTTGGGAATATGGGCATAATTATTTCTCTCTAAACTTCTTCCTGCTGTTTATTGGGTGAAGTAATTTTTTGAGGGTATTTTTGGGGTGCTCATGGGGACCTTTCTGGGGGTCTTGTTCCACAAGTCTGGTTACACAAGTCTGGAAGCAATCCACAGGTTCTCATCCTCTGTGGAGACAATAGAAGAACCTCTTTTCCAAAGCAACATATCCTTAGACCCAAATTCTGAAGTCAATATACCTTTATAATATACCTGTTGGTTTAGCTTAGCAGCCCATACAATGAAATGTCCCTCTGTACTTAGCTCCTCTACAGTAAAAAAAGAAAATTAAAGAGTACACAATAATGTACATAATCCAGACTCTCTGTGAATTTTCCAATTTTTATGTGGCTTATTTTTACTCTTTTGTTTTTTTATATTTATTTTATTATCTTTACTCCTTTAATCTACGACTGTCTGTCTTTTTATCCAACACTGTGACCCATTTATAAGTTTTTTTATCTGAATTTGTCTTTATTGCATATCTGTAATTACTTTTTGACCAGAAGTGCTCCTTAAAATGCTAAGCACTTAAGAATCTAAGCTGTAAGTATTATTTGCAATTGCCAGAACCTGGAAACAACCCAGATGTCCTACAATGGGAGAATGGATGAAGAAAGTGTGGAATATATACATATTAGAGTACTACACTGCGGTAAAAAACAATGACTTCTAGAATTTTGCATGCAAATGGATGGAAATAGAAAACACTATCCTGAGTGAGGTAACCCAGACCCAAAAAGATGAACATGGGATGTACTCACTCATAATTGGTTTCTAGCCATAAATAAAGGTAATGGAGTCTATAATTGGTGATCCTAAAGAAGCTAAATATGAAGGTGGACCCAAAGAAAAACTTATAGTTATCCTCTTGGCTATGGGAAGTAGACAAAATTGCCGGGGAAAAAATTGGGATCTTGGGGGTGGGGTGGGATGGGGGTAAGGAGAGATGGGGAGAGAAAAGTGAGAAGGGGAGGATGGGGGAAACTTGGTGAAACAGGATGATTGGGATAAAGGAAGGTTGGATAGGGGAGCAGGGAAGCACAAATCTTAATTAAGGGAGCTACCTTAGGGTTGGCAAGAGACTTGAACCTAGAGTGGCTCCCAGGAGCCCAAGGCGATGTCCCCAGTTAGTTCCTTGGGCAGCTGAGGATAGGGAACCTGAAATGACCCTATCCTATAGCAATACTGACAAATATCTTGCATATCACCGTAGAACCTTCATCTGGTGATGG